GAAATTGAGGAAGACACAAAGAAATGTTCTTTGTTCCATGCTCATGGATTGGAAGAACAAATATTGTGAAGATGTCAATGCTACCTAGAGCAAGCTACACATTTAATGCAATTCCTATCAAAATACCAACAACTTTTTTCAAAGAAATGGAACAAATAATCCTAAAATTTGTATGGAACCAGAAAAGGCCCTAAATGGCCAGAGGAATGTTGAAAAAGAAAAGCAGAGCTGGTGGCATCACAATTCTGGACTTCAAGCTCTATTACGAAGCTGTAATCCTCAAGACAGTATGGCACTGGCACAAAAACAGACACATAGATCAACGGAACAGAATAGATAGCCCAGAAATGGACCCTCAACTCTATGGTCAACTCATCTTCGACAAAGCAGGAAAGAATGTCCAATGGAAGAAAGACAGTCTCTTCAACAAATGGTGTTGGGAAAATTGGACAGCCACATGCAGAAGAATGAAACTGGACCGTTTCCTTACACAACACACAAAAATAGACTCAAAATGGTTGAAAGACCTAAATGTGAGATAGGAGTCCATCAAAATCCTAAAGGAGAACACAGGCAGCAACCTCTTCGACCTCAGCTGTGGCAACTTCTTCCTAGAAACATCGCCAAAGGCAAGGGAAGGAAGGGCAAAAATGAACTATCAGGATTTCATCAAGATAAAAAGCTTTTGCACAGCAAAAGAAACAGTCAACAAAACCAAAAGACAACTGACAGAATGGGAGAAGATATTTGCAAATGACATATCAGATAAAGGGCTAGTATCCAAAATCTGTAAAGAACTTATCAAACTCAACACCCAAAGAACAAATAATTCAATCAAGAAATGAGCAGAAGACATGAACAGACATTTCTGCCAAGAAGACATCCAAATGGCCAACAGACCCATGAAAAAGTGCTCAACATCGCTCGGCATCAGGGAACTCCATTAGGTTTTAAAGCAAACCTGGAGTTAACCTGGAGTACAGCTGCCTCGCACAGCAGAGACATCCAACAGAGTACCAGGGAAGTCCTGCTTTCACCTTTGTGAAACCACTTTTCTGATCCTTGTTATCTCTCCTCTGACTCCTTCTGGAATCAACTCATTGGGCAGATGAGGTGTCCCATTACAAGTCTCTGACGTGAGTAAAAAATAGAATAACTTAACTCCAAAGCCCCATTATACACTAGATTTCTCTATTCAGTCTCTAGTCTGTTTCCCATCCCACATTATGTTCAGCCATATTGTCCAGTAAAGCTTACTAAAGACAGTGTTTGAATGAGTACTATATAGCAACATAGACGTGGGTAAAACCCTCAGTGGGGCTAACAGAACTAAACTCAGGGAAAGCAGAACATAGAAGATATTTGCTCTTTTGTTTCCCTCTCTGTCAGCCCACTTCATCTCTCCTCAAAGAGAAGAGCTGCTACTATGATTGGCCATACTCCATTGACCTAGTTACATAGATGATGGGAAACACTGTTTTAAGAGATTATGGATCAAACCTATATGAGGAAGATTTTGAAACAGTCCTGAAAAATCACAGTAGTATGATTAAACAAAAATAGAAACATATTCCTTGTTCTTGAATAGGACCAATTAACATCATAAATATTTCAAGTCTCTCCAAGTTAATATATTAACTTAAGGTAATTCCCCAAAAAGATGCCAGCAAATTTTTTTCCTGGCACTGAATCCTAAACTTCATATAGAAAAATAAATAAGCAAGAATACTCATGAATATCTTCAAAAGGAAGAGCAATTAGAGGGGTTGGCCTTACCACATATTAAAAATTACTGTAGAGACCCTATAATTAAAACAATGTGGTGTCGATGCCTGGCTAACAGACAAACCAATGGAAACAATTTCAAGTGTATATGGAAATTTAGTATATGACAAAAGAAGCATTTTAAATTCATTGAGGGGAAAGATTAACTTTTTTTTTAAAGATTTTATTTATTTATTTGACAGAGAGAGACACAGTGAGAGAGGGAACACAAGCAGGGGGAGTGGGAGAGGGAGAAGCAGGCTTCTCTCAGAGCAGAGAGCCCAATGTGGGCCTCTGGGACCATGACCTGAGCCAAAGGCAGACGCTTAAGGACTGAGCCACCTAGGCGCCCCAAGATTAACTTTTAAAAAATGGAACCAGCACAACTGGAGAGTCATTTGAAAAAATATATACATTTAGATTTATGTCCCTTACTTTACATTAAAATAAACTCCAAATAGATCAGTCATTTCAATGTAAAAAAAAAAAAAAATGAAAAGATACATTCAAGAATAAAACATGTCCATTTCTTCATTACCTGGACATGAGGAAAGCCTTTCTACTATAATTCAAATTCCAGAAGCTGTGGTACATTTAAGTACATCTCTATCTATCTAATATCTAATGTATCTATCTATATCTACATACAGACAGACAAATATAAACTTTTACTGGGCAAAATCATCATAAGCAAAGTCAAAACACAAATGAAAAACTGACAGAAAATATTTTCAGCTTATATTACACAAGATAGTTAAGTTCTATCAATACATAACAAAGAATAAAGAAGAGTATTGGTAGATGCTACAACATGGATGAACCTCAAAAACATGTCCAACAAAAGAAGCCAGTCACAAAAGGTCACATACTGTGTGATACCATTTGTTTGTTTATTTATTTATTTAAATATTTTTATTTCATTTATTTGACAGAGAGAGAGCACAAGCAGGAGGGAGCAAAGAGGGAGAGGGAGAAACAGGCTCCCCACTGAGCAGGTCATGAGCCTGTCTTTACCCTTTGATTCAGTG